AGAGGCAAAGAGTTGAAGAAAGCTAGAACCAAGGAGAAAGTGTGGCAGGGCAAAACCATATGCTGGCCTAGAATAATTTCCCCCAACTAAGTGTTTTCCAGATGTTTGGGACCTCCATTCTCATCAGCCCCAGCCAGCCTGGCCAAATGTCCGAAATGCTGGGAGTTGTATTCCAAAAGATCTGGTGGGTACCAGGATGGGGAAGGCTATCCCAGAAAAAGAAAAGAACATGCATTATTGTGTGGAAGGAAGTGGGTAGAGAAAGGAATGAGCCAAGGTAGGTGGATCTTGACCCTCACAGAGGCATTTGGCCAATTATGTCAACAAATGTTGTGAGCAATGGAGGTGAGCAAAGAGACCCAAGAAATGTGGAAAAGAGGGAGGAGGGGCTGAATTTCACATATTTAGAACTGAGTGGATAATAATTGGCTACAGGTTTCCGGTTATCTGTTTTTAGCTTAGAGATGTGTTCATAAAAGTTGGACAGGAGTATGTATACACATCCTCTGAGGTGAGGTTGAGATGGTGTGGAGCTTGCAAATGTACTTGCTCAATATCAATTGAGGCACTTTTGCCTGAGAGTAGATCCCTGATATTTGTGGGATTAATTATTTCCAAGTAAAAATAAAAATAAAACCTTGTATTTGCATATCATAAACAAAATAATAGTATGAATAATTTGTAATCAGGAAAAATGAGGGGAGAGCTCGAAGGACTCAAAGAAGTTCTGAATCTTGAAAAGCCTGGTAGAATCACATTTTCTGGCAATTTTAGGGAAATTGGCTTCTTTTCTTTTTTGTACTCTGCCTCTAATGCCTTCATCAGGGAGTGTTTCTAAGAATAGCATTCCTTTTGCATGCAACATTAAAATTTAAAGGAATTGCTTAAATACTCTCTTGAAAAGCAGGTGAATAAGATCTGCACTTCATAATATGTCACAGTGGTACCAAAGGTGTGATTGAAAGACCTCCCATTTTATACAATTCTGTTTCATGGTACTTGTGACTTTTTTAAAAAAACCATCTTCTTCATCTATTTTGTCACATGTATCACTGCCCAGTAAAGCCTAAGAATTTTATTGCTAAGGGCAGTGATAATGGAATCTGCTCAGCGTGACTAATATAAATTGGTGGGGAAATGCTTTTAATCAGTTGAAATATGTTTCACATCCATTTTCTAAAAACAAAGCCCAATCTGATGTGCTTTGTCTTGATATACACCTGACTTCGGTAGTCGTTTGTCTTTGGTACTGCATTTACAACTAGAACAGCAGCATGATTTTGTTGGAAGATATAATCTGAGCTACGAGAAGCACTACTGCCACCTGGTAGGGCTCACCCCCGTCATGACACTGGAGGGAGCCCACAGTCACATAGCAGCATTAGTGCAGATACTGGATACCACCCACAGCCGCCTATTGGACAGAGCTTGGAATACGAAGAGTGGCAGGGCAGCTGATTTTTGCTGACTACATGTTAACCGTTCAAATAGAGCGGTGTTCACTTAAATCTATGCTTCAAGCTGCTGTCTTGTTTCCACTACCTATGTGCTTGCCTTTTATTGCCAAGTGCCACTGCAGCAGCAGGAGCTTGGACTCTCGCTATGTAAAAAGGCTATTTGTCGTCTTCTCCTCTTAACAGAAGTGAGCTTAAGGTAGATGTGGATCTTTGGGTGATTTGCAGGAAATTAACAAAGGCTTTGAGTCCCCAGTCAGCTGCAGCTGTAGCAGCAGCAAGAAAATGACTCTCTCCTTGCCCAAGTAATTATACTGTTTAAATGAAGAACACTTGGGGTAATATGGGATGGACTTTTTCAGAGCCAGGCTGCAGCAGTGGCTAAGAGTGCTGAACTGAGATGCAGGGGAGCTGGGTTCAAGTCCCCACTCAGCCATGACTCTCACTGGGTGGCTTTGGAGCAGTCATGGACTTTCAGCCTAGCATACCTCACAGGGTTGGTGTTGTGAGGATAACATGGAAAGCAAAACCCTGTAAGCCCTCTTGGGTTCCTTGTAAGAGGAAGAAAGTGGAATGTAAGCACAAGAACAAAATAATATAATTTAGGACCCTGAGGTTTATTATTCAGAAGCTTGGATACAGAATTCTTTTATTCTAAGTATTAAGAGCCTGACTCTGCTATCTTACATAGAACTCGAGGTCTTAATTTAAAAAAAAAAGACAGTGCAATTTTGAAGTCTGCTTACCCCATTTTAAAATGAATGCTAAGCTATATATCAGGGGTGGCCAAACTGAGGCTTGGGAGCCACATGAAGCTCTCTGAGTGTATTTTGCGGCTTGCTGCTCACTGTTGCAGTTGTCACAGGTACTCCCACGCCGCTCGCTGGCCCCTACCGCGGCCGCCCACCAAAGCCTGCTTGCTGCCCGCCACCTGTCGCCACTGCCTGCAGGCGCCCACCTGTGGCGCTCAAGCACCTGCCATTTACGGTTTGCTGTTCTTCCGTTGAGCAAGTCTGGCCACCCCTGCTCTATCTCATGCCATGGAAGAAGTGCAGTAGTAAGGCGCGTTCGAAAAGTACACTTTTGTCTTTGGCACAGCATGTAGAACTAGAACTGCAGTGTGGTTTTTTTGGAGGATGTTATTCAGCCTTCAGGAAGTGCTATTTCCATTTGGTAGATTAGTGCTGACCCTGGGGCAACGCTGGATACTGCCAACCTCCACCTACTGGATAGAAAAGTGTGTGTGTGAGAGAGAGAGAGAAAGAGAGAGAGATTCTGACAGATCTTTGCAAAATTCTTTATTGTTTAGATTATGTTGTTATGCTTTATTGGGTTACAGTGTTATTGTATTATTACTTTTAAACATTTTAAATGTCATACATTGCCTCAGGTGCCACTCAGGCAGAGAGGCAACGTATAACTTTTCTTCTTCTAGATATCTTATATACACAGAGAGCTTTTCTTTTCAAGCCCTGCAAAATGCTTTGCTCTTAGATTAGAAATGAAATGGAAGTGCCAGGTACCATGCCTCATATTTATCAGCCATTTTAACCAGAATTCAGCTAAGTGGAAAGCTGTAGCCTTATCTAGTATTCTGAAAAGTTGCCAGAGAAACATTTCATTATTCCCTGAGCATTCTGGTTCAACTCATCCATTTAGAATTGCAAATTGAGATCAAAGGAGCTTGTGTGTATTTGAACTGTATTTCTGTCATCATAATTATCAATGTAACAAGGCACCGACAGTTACAAATTCATTATAATCTATTACACAGTATGTACTGAAGACCAATTAATCAAAATGTTTATCTTTCATTAAAAAGATTGCACTGATTTCAATAAGCAAAAATAATATATTGGGTGAGATGAGAGCAATTTGCTCCCATAAGCTGTGTTCAGCAGTTCATTTCTAGAGTAACTGAACAGGGACATAAATGTTTACCATGGTCAGCATAAAACTGTCCCTTATTTGGGATTGTCTGGTTGTGTTGTGCATGCATCTCCATTCCCTCTCTCCCTCTTTGTGTAATCCTACTACTAAAGTACACCACTACTGAGAGCCAGTGTGGTGTAGTGGTTAAGAGCATGGGACTGGGACTGGGACTCAGACAATCTGGATTCTAGTCCCTGCTCAGCCATGGAGCCAACTGGGTGACTTTGGGCCAGTCACAGACTCTCAGCCCAACCCACCTCACAGGGTTGTTGTTGTGGGGATCAGATGGAGGAGGAGAATGATGTAAGCTGCCTTGAGCCCTTTGTAGGAAAAAGGCAGGATATAAATTGATAAATACATACATAAATAAAGGATGCTTCCTGAAGTCACTGGTTGGAGCTGATTATGAGTGGCTCATTTCCAGGCCTCTGGCAACTCTCTGATCAATCATTTTCCAGTTAAGATCGTAAGCCATTGCCTTGATTGAGGGTTCAGTATGCATTCTTCATACAGTCTACAGCACAACATAGAATCAGGCTGAAATTGTGGCACCCTCCATTACTGCCACTTCATGACACATTATAAATCATATTAGTGTATTAACACTTCCATTTCAGAAACACTATACTAGAACTTCATTTTAAAAAGTTCCCTGACTTTTCCAGTCAAAAAAGGACTATACATTATCCATGCAGATGTAATCTTATTCAAATTATTATTCAAACCCTTTTATTTCTTAAAAAAGGTTTTGTTATTATTCTCTAGGCTATTTGAATTTTTAAAAATACAGACATCTATATTGATGATTCTGATAGCACATAATTTTGCAAAGCTGAAGTGTTTCAGAACAATGACAAAAATGGCTCTTATAAGTGTATACTCAGACAATATGACACTCTACCCAGAGCTGAAAATTATTCACTCCCTATCCATCAAACAACCACTTCCTGGCCGAAATGAAAAGCAAACCATAAAACTTTTACTGCTGCAGCCCACATATGTGTATCCTTTTATTTAAAAGCTCTCTCACTTTGTCAGACAAATAAAACATAGGGTGTTGGAATAAATCACATTCCATTTTGAGAGTACAATTGCTTTATCCTCTAGCGAAAAACAGTACATGGTCAGAAGAAAACGGCACTGTGCACTTGCAAGGTCTTTGGGACAAATCTCATTTATAGATTTCACTAATTCACTAATCTTCATTTTAAAATGCCTACCAATGTAAATGTATTTGGATTGTGCTCTGCTATAGCATGATGATCTATGAAACAGTGGTGAGGTACAGGGTAGGGTCCACAGTTCCGTTCCCTGAGTGGCTGAAGGAGTGGTGAAGAAGTACGGTGCAATGGTTAGGGCAGACGGTGGGCAAACGCAAGCCCACAACCTAATTCCTGATCCTGCTCCATCCCAGTCCCAGTACGGCGCTCAGGGGTTTTCCGGAAGGCTATGCCTCTTTTTCACGGACATACTCCACCACCAGCCGTTTGGCCCTTTTTTCCCAGGGATCGGGCCCCTCCGTTCCGCCTCACCCCCACCCGGCTCTTGGCCCTTGCCATGACCGCGCCCAAGCAATTCTGATGCATTTAAAAGGGGTCCAACCCCTTGCAATTTATGTACCCTCATTCCGCTTTTGTGGACATTTCTCAAAAGAGTAAGAAAAGTCCTGATATTGTTGGAGGTGCACTGCGCCAGTCACCGACCTCGCTGGCCCGTTTCCCGAGCCAGGCTGCCGGCGCCCAAACTCGCCGCCCGCTCAAGCAGCAGATCCCGCCCGAGCTGCACTGCCCCCAAGAGGCCGGCAGGGGGCAGAGCCGCTGTCTGGGCAGGCGCGCGCCCAGGCGACGTCTGCTGCGCCGCTCTGAATGGAACCGCGAAGCCGGGAGGAGGGAATGGAGGGCCGCGAGCCTGCTGGCCCCGCGCCTGGCCCGGGCCGCCCCGCGCCTGGCCCGGGCCCTCCGTGCAGGGATCTTGCAGGTGAGCCAGCCTGGGGAGATGCCTGGTCTGTTTGAGCGGGCGGATGGGGCTCCACAGGCTGCTTCTGCGCCCTAAACCATCTGAAGGGACCGGGCCTCTAAATTTGCGGTATCTTAAAGCCGGGTGGCATCATTCCTTTGTGGTCGCAGAATTCATCTGCTCTTAGACTCTTCGTTTCTGCTGCCGCAACAAACTTGGCCACTTCTCTATTTATTCATTACATTTATATGCCACCTTTTCGCTGCAAGGCAGGCAAAGAGGCTTTCCTAATCTTCTTTTCCATTTTATCCTTACAACAGCCTTGTGAGGTAGGTTAGGTGGAGAGTTGTGACTGGCACAAAGCTTCCCAGTGTGGTTCATGGTTGAGAAGGGACTGGAATTACGATCTCTTGAGCTCCAGACCAACTTTTCAATCACTGCACCAGACTAGCTCTCCTCTCACCTTCTCAGTCACATGAGGTGAGGTACACTTATGGAGAGAATAGTTTATCTCAATAATCAGAAATAAATGAGTTGAAAGATTCAGTCTTCTATGGGATCTTTATATTGTGGGGGTTCTACACATCTCTTGCCAAAAGTGTTAGCAGTTTAAGTATTTCAAAGTTCTGTATAATAGTTCAATATAATACTGTGAGATAAGACTTTGTTGTTGTTGTTGTTAGTTGTGAAGTCGTGTCCAACCCATTGCGACCCCATAAGACTAACAATATATTAATATGTGTGTTCGATGTGCTGTCATGATGGTACAAATATGGATTCCAATCTAATGAATGCGCTCCCCAGAGAGGTCCGCCTGGCGCCATCGTTATTTGTTTCTCGGTGCCAGGCCAAGACCTTTTTATTTAAACGTCATTTTAATTGTTAATATTATTAATTGATTTTATATCTTTGGCCAGGACGTCTCCAATTATATTGTTTTTATATGGTTAATATGTAGTTATTTATTGTTGTGAGCCTCCCTGAGGCTTCTGCGAATGGGGCGGCATAGAAGCTTCCTAAATAAATACAAATACAAATCAAATATCCCAGAACAGGTTATGCATATAACTAATGGATGTCATGTACTGTTGAATGATTTACTTGCATGAGAAACGCAATGAAGCATAAGTAAAATAAGACTTTAAAAAAGATTCTGCAAGTCACAAGTCTGCCCATCCCTGTCCTAGGGAATGTTCAGAGCAGAATACTCCTTAAGGTTTAGATTCCTGAGATGCAACATCAAATTAACTGGTAGCATAACACCATAAAAAGCAGTGCACAAAGATTCCCCCAGTTAATTGAGCAACATTTTAAAAACTATGTTCAATGCAAGTATTTATAAACATTGCAAGCACTATGAGACACTCTTCCTTCTCTTATACACCGGAGTAATTGCTGACTGTAATGTTGAGCATGTGCTTTAAGCCTGGGGGCAGGATTTTTCTTTCAGAAATAGCCAAAATGAGCCGTGAACTGGGAACCTAATGTGGGGGTGGGGGGGGGTCATTTTTTCTTCTTTGCTATGTGTTTTACTGTATGGAGGGTATGAGTGCAGTTTGCACAGGGGGAAAGTTTTCATCAAAAAGCTGATGATGGAAATAAAAACAATAACTATATGTTGGGAAAATATATATTCATAATATGAGGCTGCTTTAAACAAATACTGATGTTGATATTGGCCCTACTTTGATGAGGATCATATTGGTGCATGTAGGGAAGATCCTTTTATTTTTCTAGAGTTCTAGTAGTACAGAGGGTTTTCTTGCTATTACAGCATTAAAGTCTGCTATTATTAGTGCAGCACAAAGGTACTGTAACAGTTCACTGACTTTGGATCCTTATAAGTTAAATACTCTCAAGAGATGAGAAAGAGACTGACTTTTCTAAAAGGGAAATGAGGCTTGAAGGTGATAAGTTTAATAGATTAAAAATCCAGGCACTGGATACATAACAGATAATCAGCTTTACAGACTTCTCATGCATTGTTACAAATCTTATCAGTTACAGCCTTGTAATTAATTGCTGAACTCCAATTACTGAACAACTGATCTTGTTCAGCCCCTGCTCTGGCTTGCCTCCCTTCCCTGATGCCTGGCACCGCTGCAGTCTCCCTTGATGCCAGACAGCGTTTGGATCTGGAGAAGTGGCACTATAGAACTGATTGCCTGTGCTTATCTTTCTCCCCTGCAGCTGAAAGCAAGAATTTCTGTCAGTAGTTGTCTTGGACCTGGGAACCCATTAGAACAGTAGCAATGATTGCCATGCAGTGGTGTGTCAGGCAGAATGCAAAGCTCTCTGGTCCACATTAAGGCAGAAGAAAAGAGCAATTGTTACACATAGTACCTTAGCAATTGCCCCTGCACTGATCTACACACTCCATTTGCCTTCCTTCCCCTGCAGACAGTAAAAGTCTATTAGCTAGCCATGGCTCCAGAAGACAGTATTGGCAGTAGAGGGAGCAGAGAAACAAACGGGGGAAAGTGCATTGGAGGACTGAGCTTCCTCCCACATGTTAATTGTCTGAAAGAGAAACATCAGTGTGTTTAACATTTATTCTCCCAACCTAAATATCATTTCGCTTAAGGGGTGTGTGTGTGTGTGTGTGTGTGTGTGCGCGCGCGCATGTGTGTGTGTGTGTGTGCTTGTTTGTTTTTGATAAGGCCTAACTTTTAAGTAAGCATGTTTAGGGTTATGGTCTTATTTTATCTCCCGCTTTATGATTCATTTGCAATTTCTAGATAGTGGCAGCCGTGCAAGGTTTCAGACTAGGAATTCCTATTCCCACTAAATATGTGTTTAGCTCAGAAAACATGCCCAGAATTACTCTCATACTGCATATTCCATGATGTTCCCAACTTATTCTTAGAGACAAAATGTTCACCCCATAGCATACTTACATTTTATTTATGCAGATTTTTTCACAATTGCTGAAGAGACCTAACAGAATTTTCTAATGTCGAAAGTTAATATGTCCAAATAAAAGAGGCATCCCTTTAATAAAATTTCCTACAAGCCAGTCTAAAATGCAAATGGCGTGTCCCACTTTTCTATCTCTTTCCCTGCCTACCTGCTTCTGCCTTTTCACACTCCTCCTTAATTCTCTCCCATCCCCTGCAGACATTTACCAGCTATAGAGACAGCAGGTAAAGGTTTCTAGGACAGGGAACTCTGGGCTAGCCTTCTCCAACCTGGTGCCCTCCTGATGTTTTAGCCTACAACTTCCAGCATGTCTGAAAATTGTTCATGCTGGCTGAGGCTGATTTGTGTTGAACTCTAATGCATCTGGGAGGGACCAGGTTGGGAAAGGTGTTGTAGGTGATAGTGAAAGCCTCTTGAGGTCAGAGCTGAAGACATCCATAGGGATGGGCAGGGATGTATGAGAAAATAGTTTTAGATCACATTTTCTCACAATTAGTTTGTACCTTCCAGACAGAACCTGGACAAAATCTGCTGTCAAAGACCATACATTTCCTACCCTGCAAGTGATTTGTTAACGCTCAGTACTTTGTTTGATAGCATGACAGCATTTGAAAAATGCCCAAGAAAAAATTGCATACGTTTGAATAATATGCACAAATAGGTTTTAATCAAAATAAAAAAGACAATGTACTTTTCAGTGATGCATACAGTTGATACATGCACACGGGAAAATATTTATGAGGAAATGCACATAAGGTTTTCATGTAGAAAGAAAGGAAAACCGTTCACTCTGGGGTTGCAAGCTTTGGAAGAGAACTTTGGCAAGCTTAGCTTTTACTGATTCACACATTCCTAGGAAGAGAATGTGTATTACAAATCCTCCCATGAAATGAAATGGGATGGAATATAAAGAGCTGAAAGTGGCTTAGAAGAGATGATGAACACTATCTTCCAGATTTGAAGTTTTCTTCCCGTCCCCTTCTTGTTCTTGACATAGAAATAAGCCCATGGATAAAGGTGCACATGTTTCTTCTCTCCCCTAAATATCTAGACACGCATACACTGAAATTGTGAAAAGCTGCTTTAGTTCAAATAACCAGATTGGCCTAGCATTGAGAAGAAGGGAATGGGGAAGTGCATGTTAATGAACTCAGTTCAAAGTTCTGGGTTTAGCCTTTAAAGCCTTAAATGGCTTGAGGCCAGGTTACCTAAAAGGTGGTCTCCTTGCTGTATACTGACCTGGAACTAAAATAACGTTGTTCACTGGCCTTTTTCCCCTGGTGCTTTCCCCAAGTGACGTGAGATGGCTGGCTTTCAAAGAGCGAACCTTCCCAGTGGTGGTTTCCAGATGGAATGTTCTTTTCTCAGAGAGGCTTATGTTCTGGTCTTTTTGTTCCGCAGCTTTGTAATCCTTCACTTTGTAAAAAAAAAAAAACCACTATCTTTGTATCTTTTAGGAACTGGTACTGCTATTGGTTTTAGTTTGCCTTTATTCTGTAGAAGATGATGATTGATTTTTATGTTGTGCTTTATGTTTTTGTATTTTATGGTTTCAGTTTATGTCGTGAACCATTCGGCTGTTAGGCTTTATAGAAATGGAATGAATGAATAGTTTTCTGTAGGTGTCACTTGATTGCTTCCTGATGCTGCCTCTGCTACTTGTAAAGTTAAAGGGAAGTTGCCAAGGCACAAAGCAGTTTGCCACTTGGGGCAGTTGTCACTTGCTTCAAGGTGCCAATTGGATGATTGGGTTCACTGTAAAACGAATGGAGCATCCAGTTCAGTTTGTGAACTGTACAGCCGTGAATGTCATGGTGTGCAACAGATGTCTTTTATCATGTTTCCATGTGGTTTTATGTGTGTATTCGTAGACATGTATTTACCAGCCGAGAGTAGGCAGCATTGATTTGTAACCATAAGCATTTCTAAGCAATAGAAAATAAAGCTTGTGTTTGAGGGGTTGGGATGGCAGCTATTATGCTCCATTCTGAAAATATTTTCTGATCTTTTAATTTTATTGCTCCTATATATTTGCTTCTGTAAAGTTCTTGAAACACCGATCAATCAGAGCCTAACAGAATATCTCTGTTGCTCCTTCCTCTGTGAGTTTACTGCTGGTTGTTGGTT